ATCTTTAAAGCTTTATATTGATAATCAAACACAAGGATTATCTCATTTAATAGATAAAATTAATTTAAATAGAAACATAAACACGGTTGCACTTAAAAAAAATGACTATTATGAAGAAATCACCTTTTAATAGAAATAATTCAGAAAATAAATATTTAAGTTGAAAAGGTTAGTAGTTTTTGACAGGCATAGAATGGATGAATAGTTACAAAATTGATTTATTTCAATCAGTTAGAATATTAAAAATTAATATTTTATTTTTTTTTATCATAGATTTACTGTATCTTCATGTTGTATTTTTTTAATTTTGTTTAAACAATATTTTTTCTTTTAAAGTAATTTTCAAATTTATTTTTATTAATTTGTTTTGCTAGAGTTATAATTTTAAATTTAAATTCATAATATTTGTAAAATATGTGTATGTTCTGTATTACTTCTATTATAAATTAATGAGATCCTTATTTTTATTTAAATAATTGGTCTTAGATTGACTTAAAATAAGGTCAATGTATCCTATAATAAACTAAAGGTTTATTGTCATCTATCTCTAATGAAATGGTTAAGCTTCATTCAAAAGTCAAAAGGAGAATAAAATTTTTTCTAAATTTGAATGGTTAGTTGAAAAAGGTAATAAATATAGAGTAGAAAAGAGAGTGAAAGAGATAAATTTTTAATGACAGTATACTCTAAATCCTCATTAATTAAGAGCAGCATAAATTAAGGGCCAAAAAAAATTTTTTATGGAAAGAATTAATCTTTTTTACATTTTAAATGAATGAAAAAAATTCTTAATCTAAAAATTAAATGTTTAATTAAATATTTAAATTTCTTCATGAAAAAACAAATTAAATCTTCATTTTTAATTTTTTTCTTCAATCAGGTTCGAAACCTGCTTTAAAATTTTTATTTCTTTTAATTTTCTTTTATTAAATAATAAATATTATTCTACTAAATCAATATTTTTTACTCAAGAATTAATTATCCGAAAATAGCAATAATTATAAAGAGTTTCTCTTTAAAGTGTACTAATTTAAAATAATTTAGTCAAACAATCCTAATAGTTTTGATAATTATTATAATTATTAAAATAGTAAAATTATATTTTAATCAATATGTTTTTTAGAGTCTATCTTAGTTTAAAATAAAAATAATACAGTTGAAATGGCTTAAAATTTTACTATTAAAATATTTTAAACAATAAATAAATTTAATTTAAATGAAAAAACATTTTTTAGAATTTTAATATGCATGTATTTATACATTATAATAATAATTTTAATTTGTTATTTATCTATCAGTTTAATAAGATTAATTACATTTAGAACATGAAATTCATAAATAAAAAATATTTATAAATGGATACTTAAAAATTGTGATTAGCTTCATTAATTTATCAATACAAATAAATATATTATTATATACTAATTTTTTGTATTTTTTTTCAATTGTCCATTTTAATTTTGAATTTGTTTTCGAAATAATCTTCAAATCTATAAAATATATAAATAAACTATAATTAAACTAAAATAGAAAAATGAAAATAATTAATTAATCGATGATGAATAATTTTGCTAAGCATATTGAAAAGTGTTTTTTATTTTGATGCAATTAATTGGAATAATTGTTTCAATTAGTAAACAAATAAATTTAGATACACAAAAATTTAACAAAAAAATCAAAAAATAATTTATGATCTGTGAATCAATCAATTAATTCTCCAAACCCATTTGTTTTAAGTTTCAATTTCACAAATGTGTTAATTAAAACAAACTAAATAAATTGATAGTTATTTAAATTACCAGATTCAAAGATGTTATATTATGGCACTTCTCCAAGCTCATTTTTATATTCTTAGCTACATCTACACCAAAGTCATTATTTCTCCTTTGAAATAATAAATAATGAATGTGTTGAAAATAATGAAAATAAAATAGAAAAGTAATTAATAAATGGGTTAATAATGAATGATTTTGTTAAACATATTAAAAATTGCTTATTTATTCTGATGCAATTAATTGGAATAATTGTTTCAATTCGTAAACAAATAAATTTAGATGCACAAAAAATAAACAAAAAAATTAAAAAACAATTGCTGTGAATCAATCAATCAATCAATTAATTCTCCAAACCCATTTGTTTTAAGTTTCAATTTCACAAATGTGTTAATTAAAACAAACTAAATAAATTGATAGTAAGTTAAATTACATTATTCTGAGTGTCAAAGATGTTATATTTTTGCACTTCACCAAGCTCATTCCAATGTTCTTAGCTCCATATGCATCAAGCTCATTTTTCCTATGAAAATAATAAATAATGAATGTGTTGAAAATAATGAAAATAAAATAGAAAAGTAATTAATAAATGAGTTAATAATGAATGATTTTACTAAACATATTGAAAAGTGCTTATTTATTTTTGATGCATTTAATTGGAATAATTGTTTGAATTCGTAAACAAATAAATTTAGATGCTCAAAAATTAAACAAAAAAATAAAAAAACAATTTATGAGCTGTGAATCAATCAATCAATTAATTCTCCAAACCCATTTGTTTTAAGTTTCAATTTCACAAATGTATTAATTCAAACAAACTAAATAAATTGATAGTTAGTTAAATTACCCTAAATTGAGATTCAAAGATGTTATATTTTGGCACTTCACCAAGCTCATTCCAATGTTCTTAGCTCCATCTGCACCAAGGTTATTATCCCTATGAAAATAATAAATAATGAATGTGTTGAAAATAATGAAAATAAAATAGAAAAGTAATTAATAAATGGGTTAATAATGAATGAATGATTTTGCTAAACATATTAAAAAGTGCTTATTTATTTTGATGCAATTAATTAGAATAATTGTTTCAATTCATAAACTAATAAATTTAGATGCACAAAAATTAAACAAAAAAATCAAAAAACAATTTATGAGCTGTGAATCAATCAATCAATCAATCAATTAATTCTCCAAACCCATTTGTTTTAAGTTTCAATTTCACAAATTTATTAATTAAAACAAACTAAATAAATTGATAGTTAGTTAAATTACCTTAGATTGAGATCCAAATATGTTATATTTTGGCACTTCTCCAAGCTCATTCCAATGTTCTTAGCTCCATTTGCACCAAATTTATTATAGTTATATCTATGATAATAATAAATAATGTTATAAATAATGAAAATAAAATAGAAAAGTAATTAATAAATGGGTTAATAATGAATGATTTTGTTAAACATATTAAAAATGCTTATTTATTTTGATGCAATTAATTGGAATGATTGTTTCAATTCGTAAATAAATAAATTTAGATGTACAAAAATTAAACAAAAAAATCAAAAATCAATTTATGAGCTGTGAATCAATCAATCAATCAATTAATTCTCCAAACCCATTTGTTTTAAGTTTCAATTTCACAAATGTATTAATTAAAACAAACTAAATAAATTGATAGTTAGTTAAATTACGCTAGATTGAGATTCAAAGATGTTATATTTTGGCACTTCTCCAAGCTCATTCCAATGTTCTTAGCTTCATCTGCACCAAGATTATTCCAACTATGAAAATAATAAATAATGGATTGTTGAAAATAAGGAAAATAAAATACAAAATTAATTAATAAATGGGTTAATAATCAATGATTTTGCTAAACATTTTGAAAAGTGCTTATTTATTTTTGATGCATTTAATTGGAATAATTGTTTCAATTCGTAAACAAATAAATTTAGATGCACAAAAAATAAACAAAAAAATCAAAAAATAATTTATGAGCTATGAATCAATCAATCAATTAATTCTCCAAACCCATTTGTTTTAAGTTTCAATTTCACAAATGTATTAATTCAAACAAACTAAATAAATAGATAGTTAGTAAAATTACTTTAGATCGAGATTCAAAGATGTTATATTTTGGCACTTCACCAAGCTCATTCCAATGTTCTTAGCTCCATCTGCACCAAGTTGATTACCACTATGAAAATAATAAATAATGAATGTGTTGAAAATAATGAAAACAAAATAGAAAAGTAATTAATAAATGGGTTAATAATGAATGAATGATTTTGCTAAACATATTAAAAAGTGCTTTTTTATTTATGATGCAATTAATTCGAATAATTGTTTCAATTCATAAACTAATAAATTTAGATGCACAAAAATTAAACAAAAAAATCAAAAAACAATTTATGAGCTATGAATCAATCAATCAATTAATTCTCCAAACCCATTTGTTTTAAGTTTCAATTTCACAAATGTATTAATTCAAACAAACTAAATAAATTGATAGTTTTTTAAATTACCCTAGATTGAGATCCAAAGATGTTATATTTTGGCACTTCTCTAAGCTCATTCCAATGTTCTTAGCTCCATCTGCACCAACGCCACTAACACTATGAAAATAATAAATAATGAATGTGTTGAAAATAATGAAAATAAAAGAGAAAAGTAATTAATAAATGAGTTAATAATGAATGATTTTGCTAAACATATTAAAAAGTGTTTATTTATTTTGATGCATTTAATTGGAATAATTGTTTCAATTCGTAAACAAATAAATTTAGATGCACAAAAAATAAACAAAAAAATCAAAAAACAATTTATGAGCTGTGAATCAATCAATCAATCAATTAATTCTCCAAACCCATTTGTTTTAAGTTTCAATTTCACAAATGTATTAATTCAAACAAACTAAATAAATTGATAGTTAGTTAAATTACTATAGATTGAGATACAAAGATGTCATATTTTGGCACTTCTCCAAGCTCATTCCAATGTTCTTAGCTTCATCTGCACCAAGGTGATTTTAACTATGAAAATAATAAATAATGGATGTGTTGAAAATAATGAAAATAAAATAGAAAAGTAATTAATAAATGGGTTAATAATGAATGATTTTGCTAAACATATTAAAAAGTGGTATTTATTTTGATTAAATTTATTGTGATATCATTTCAATTTACAAGCAAATAAAATTATTTATGGCTAATAAAATAAGAATTTATAAAGTTAAATAAAAAATCCTAAAATATAAATACTGCATAAATTTTATCAAAGTCTAAATAAGAGAATATAAACTTTATTAATTTATTTTCATATTGAAATTATCTGATTTTTTAGTTAACTAATAATACATAAATTAAAATGATAGTTTTGGGAAATAAAATTTTTAGTATAAATTTAAAAAGGTTAAATATATTTTAAAAAATTAAAAATCTAGAAAATGAAATGGGAAAAATTTAGAGAATTAAACAAACTCTACAATAAATAAAATTTTTAAGTATTTAACTTCAATTTTATTTAATTTAATTATTGAATTTATATATCTAATGTTCAATTTAAATTAATTAATTCTTCATTTCATTTCATTTTATTAAGCAATTAAAAATTTTAATAACTTTAAATCTCAAAATTTTGAAACAGTAAAGTATCTAAAATAAATAATATTTACAATATTTAACTTTATACTAATTCTGATAAATTTTAACATTATTTAAATGAAAATAAGAGATTTAATTATGGATTAAAATCTATTAGCAAATAATAATTAATTTAAAGTTATGGAAAAATAACAAATTTTGATATTTTTGTCTAGATACTTAAAAATAAGTACAAAATAATAATTTAGATTTATTTAGGGGAGAAAATATCAACTTCTTAAATCATATATCAATGTTTGATGTTATTTGAATAATTTATTTTAAAATAAATTAAAATAAAACTACTTTATCTATTTAAAATTATTTAATAATAATATTAATACCTGAAAGTAAGACGTAACATATGAACTAATCTTTTTGCTATACACTCCTAGATTTCAGAGAGTTTATGGTAGCCATGAAATATGTACACATCAAATCTGACTAAATTGTATTCCCATGTGTAGTTAATCTAAAGAGATGATTGTTTGAATTTTGAAATCATCAAATTAGACCCAGTGAACTAACTTTCTAGTTTTAGTCTTAAGTTATTTAATTGTTTAGTTAGTTCAAAAGAATCGATTCTATTCTAGGGCATTTTTTCAAGCATTTTAGTTATAATTTAGTTAATATCTAAATATAAAGGGTCTTTGCTTGAATAGTTAAGTAGTTTTCCACTTCTGATAAAAGTACAATCTTCATCTTCAAGAAACTTTCCAAGGGTTAATTCAAGAAGAATAATTCCTAAGCCATAAATATCAAACTTTAAATAAAAATTCAATTAAAAACAACTAAATAAATAATAGAATAATTTAATAAATTTACTTTGATATTGAATAAACCGTTTGGATCAATTGATTCAGGAGCTGCATACTTTCTTGTAAATCCTTTGAGCTTTTAAATATTAAGAATGTAATATACAAAAAATTTATTTTTAAATAGCTTAAATAAAATAAAGAGTATAAAAAATGTGTTATATTTTAGAAAAATTGTAAACCTTTGATAAATTTGAATAAATTAAATGATTAAGCAAGTGTTGAAATTCTAAATATTAATAAATAGTGCTGAAACTAATTTGAGTAGTAATTAAATTTGAAAAATAAATAAATTAATTAATTACATCATAAGTTTTTGATCCATCTTTAAATGATTTAGACTCTCCGAAATCACCTTTAAGATTAAAAATAAGAATTTAGGCTAAAATAAACTTATAAATAGTATAAAATTCAACTCAATAAGATTAAAAGTAATCTTTTTTATTTGAAAATAATTATTTATTAAGAAATGCTTATATTTAAAATATTCAAACTATAATTTGTATGTTAATGATTAAATCACAAAAAAATATTTATAAATAGAATGAATCTTTTATAAATAAGTGTAAAATATTTATAAACTCTAGTAATTTTATACTACTCTTTATATTTATTTAATTTATTAAATAGAGTAAAGTCAATTGTAAGTAATTCACTCAATATTAACTAAATCATTAAAATTCATATTAAATTAATAAACTAAGGTAATTAATTTAAATTATGCAATTATTGATACTCAGATAAAGTAAACTTATGCTTCATTAATTTTAAGCAATTAAAAACTCAAATTTTTGAAATGGTAAATAAATTAAAATAATCAAATTTTTAAATTTATTTTTTGTTTAATTTTTTAATAAAGGTTTTTAATTTTTAATACTTAAATATTTAGAATATCATTAACATTTTATCATTCTTTTTTAAAGTTTTATTTAATAATCATATTTTTAGATGGGAGGAAGATTAAATTAACTTACAATACATTTTTTTTGTTTGTTTGAAGAGTTTCTTAATCCAAAAGTTAATAAATAAATAAAATTTTAAATAACATTAAAAATTTACATAGATTAAAACATTTTTCTTAGCTATCGTAAAGGATATTGTCTGGTTTAATATCAGAGTGAATCAAATTATTTTATTAAATTGCTTCAAAGACTGTTGACATCTGAATAGCAAAACCAACTATTTAGTTGAGTGGTAGTGTTTTTCTTTCATAAAAGTACCTAAACATTATGTTTTAAAGAGTACCTAAGAATTTGAAAATATTTATTATATTTAAAAACTAAAAGTAACAAAGATAAATTTTTACATGAATATCTTTTAGAAATCTAATAGTATCTTGATTTTTTTTCATTGAAAAACCCTTCGATAGTTTTAAAGACGTAAGGAGTATTCTTTAACAATTTCAGTATTTTTTCTTCTTCTTTGATTTTTTCAAAATCAGCTTTGCTACATTTGACAGCTACTATTTCTTTATTGTACTTAGCCTCAAAAACACATCCAAAACCACCTTCCGAAATGTAGGATGTTAAGTATATCTTCTTCTTTTGAAGTTCATTGTAAATAATTGTTAGTTCATCTGAATCAAATATCATATTCTTTTTATATTGATTTTAGTAACCCTTAAAAATTTCTTAAAATATTTCTTCAGGTGCCTAATATTTAAGCTCAATGTCTTGTTATTATTGCATGATTAGTAACAATTGCTAATATATAAAATAATTATAATGTTTAAAGAATAAGAATAAAAAAATTTTTTTTTAATTTTAATAATATATTTTATTTTATAACAAAATCTTTTTTATTTACCTTTTTTATTTCTTTCAATTAATTTCTTTGTTTTTTTCTTAATTAAATTATAAAAATTTGTTAATTAATAAAGTATTAAAATTTATAAGTGAAAGATTATTTTTTTTGATAATTAATATAATAAAACTAAATAGTTCGTGATTTTCCCCACAAACCTTAATACCAAATTTATTCTATTGTTTACAGAATAATTGAAAAGATAATGAATTTTTTTAAGCAATTTCACTTTATCAATTAATATATATTAATTTATTTTATATTTTATTTTAATTTAAAAAATAAAATAATATTTTTTATTTATCAGAACTAAATAAAAAAGAAAACATCAGTTTTTAAAATCTACTAAATATATATAAATCTGGTATATTAAAATTAAAAGATTAATCAATCATATTTATTAAAAATGTATTACAGGCAAAGTTTAAATTTTATAATATTTTATCAAAATATCTTCTTTCAAACCAATAAATTATCTTCTAATAAAAAAAATAAAATAAAAAATAATAATTTACTTAGCATTTACTTTAACTTTCATTGAATTTATTTGCTTTTATTTTTTTCATAATAATCTATTATTAAATATATTTTAAAATAAATTTTTTTTTATTAAATTTACCTCTTTCAATAGATCTTAGCTTTTAAAGTTGCATATCTTTTAAAAATATTCTATTGAGATTTCTAAGGCAACAATATGGAGAAATACAATAAAATATAGATGAGTTTAAAAAATATTTTTATCTTTATTAAAAAATTAAAGAATTTATTTACAAATTTAGCTTTTATAATAACACTTAATATTTTTGTAGATTTAACTTTAAATTTATCAAAACAAAATTTTTATTAAAAATAAAAAAATCATATTAAGTGATAAGATTTTTTCATTTGCTATTTTAATAAAAAAGTATTTTTTTCAATGATTAAAAATTGACATAAAAAATTAAATTAGTTATTCCTTTAATATAAATAATAAATTAATTATTATTAATGATTTATTTTATTAAAAAATGTTTTATGTGTAATAAAATATAATAATTTATTCAACAGAAAGTTTTCTTTTTAAAAATTATAAATAAAATTAATTATTATTCAATCTTATTCAATTTATATTTACACTAATCTATATGTATTAAGAAGTTGAATCCTTAAATTTTTTATTAAGAAATAATTGTCCCTATTAATAGTTGTAAAATTTTGATTTTATTATTTTAAAAAATTATAAATGCAAAATCATTCAAGCTTATTTATATGTATGAATAGAATTATGAGAAAATAATAAATTTAAAACAAAAAAAGGAAAGTAATCAAGTAAAACGATTAAACCTTTTTTACTAATTTTAATCAAACAAATAAATATCAATACAATCAAAAAGAGCAAATATAAAAAATTTACTAAAAGCCAAGTTTTAAAACAGAGACTCGAGCATTTTGATAAAACATATCCTAATTCTTATTTAATGAGAGCATCATTATAATTTCTACTCTTTGATATTAAAAAAGTAATTATTCTTTAAAATTGAAAAATATAAAGTTTAAACTTAGATTAAATATTAAATATAAAAGAAAATATAAATTAATCAGTAAGGAAAAAAAATAAATGTAAAATTTAAATAAATTAAGTAAATAATATAGAAAGAAATTAGTTTTATCTCTTTTCTAAAAGTTTTTTAACAAAATTAAGAACAATAATAAGAAAATTAAAAAATCATTTTTACTAAAGATTAATTGTTAAGAAGAAAGTATAGGATATTTTGATAATGCAATTCCTAAATTTTATGCAGCTTTTGCATCTATTGAGTTAGTCTCTAAAAAAATTAATTATAAAACCCACAAAACTTGTCATATTCACTAGTAAAATGTAATAAAATAAAATAATTTACAATACATTTTAATTTTTTTAAAAAGTATAAAATGTAGCCCTCCAGGTGAAATGACTGGAGGAGAAAAAATTAGCATGTAGTGGCTTCAATTTGGTATTACTATATTTAAAATATTCTGATTACAAATTATCTTGGATTTTGAATAAAGTAAATTTTTTTAGAAATTTATTAAAAAGGAAACCAAAATAATATTTTGAAAAATAATAATAATTTCAAAAGATATTTTAATTAGAAAAAAATTGAGTTTAAATTATTGAAATTTTTGTTTTTGATTTTTAAAAATTACTAATAAAGGATTATTAACTTTAAAATAGATCACACTTCAATAAAAAGTAAAATAAATTTTACTGAAGTTCTTACAGAAAGTCCCCGATATCAAAACACTAAAAATTAAGCTTGATTAACATAAATGAATAATTTTTTATTAGCTCAAACAAATTATATTTAATAGTTATTAATTAACATTTCAATATTTACTGAAACTGATTTTGTATTTTATCTTAATAATTTACAAACTTCTCCAAATATATTATCTTCTCTCTCTCATACTCTAGCTGCAAAATCTAGAATACTTGACTATCTATTTTTATCCATATTAAACGTTTTTTTGTTAAGTTATTTTTAAAAATATTCTTTAATAAAAGTATATTTTCTTTGATTGATTGATGAATTAACTATCAAAAAAATCTGATTAAACTACCATAACTTAAAAAAATTGGATTTTTCTATGGCATAATAATATTCTAAATTCACTTATTTACTTATAAAAATTACATTTCAAGATATTTCTGACAATTAAAAAATACAAAATTTTTAATTAAAGATTTTATATCGAAACGATAACTCAATAGAGTTTTCTTGCTTACTTTCTTTTAAATTGCAAGAATATTAAAGACTTAAATCATTCAATCAAGTAAATTTATTTTATTTAGAAATTGTAAAATTTAAACATAAAACTAATACTTATGCTATTATAATAATGTTAATTTTTTTTGTAAATACTGTAGACCTCAGTTGGGCAACATGCAAAAATTCGACACTTTGAATCTAATTTACCGCCATAAAAATTTTATATTAAGATACACAACTATTTATGATAATAAATATTTCAATCTTATTTAAATATTAATGATTTTTTTAAATACAAAATGTAATGGCTCATTTTTTTTGCCTACTGATCTAAAAATGCTCCGATTGTAAATTCTCTTTACTCTAGATTGAGATTCAAAGATGTTATATTTTGGCACTTCTCCAATCTCATTCCAATGTTCTTAGCTCCATCTGCACCAAGGTTATTCTCCCTATGAAAATAATAAATAATGAATGTGTTGAAAATAATGAAAATAAAAAAGAAAAGGAATTAATAAATGGGTTAATAATGAATGATTTTGCTAAAGATGTTAAAAAGTGGTATTTATTTTGATGCAATTTATTTGGAATATTTGTTTCTATTCGTAAACAAATAAATTTAGATGCACAATAATTAAACAAAAAAAAAATAAAAAAACAATTTATGAGCTGTGAATCAATCAATCAATTAATTCTCCAAACCCATTTGTTTTAAGTTTCAATTTCACAAATGAATTAATTAAAACAAACTAAATAAATTGATAGTTAGTTAAATTACTATAGATTGAGATTCAAAGATGTTATATTTTGGCACTTCTCCAAGCTCATTCCAATGTTATTAGCTCCATCTACACCAAGCTCATTCCAACTATGAAAATAATAAATAATGAATGTGTTGAAAATAATGAAAATAAAAAAGAAAAGGAATTAATAAATGGGTTAATAATGAACGATTTTGCTAAAGATGTTAAAAAGTGGTATTTATTTTGATGCAATTTATTTGGAATATTTGTTTCAATTCGTAAACAAATAAATTTAGAAGCACAAAAATTAAACAAAAAAAAAAAAATAAAAAAACAATTTATGATCTGTGAATCAATCAATCAATTAATTCTCCAAACCCATTTGTTTTAAGTTTCAATTTCACAAATGAATCAATTAAAACAAACTAAATAAATTGATAGTTAGTTAAATTACTCTAGATTGAGATTCAAAGATGTTATATTTTGGCACTTCTCCAAGCTCATTCCAATGTTCTTAGCTCCATATACACCAAGGTTATTCTTCCTATGAAAATAATAAATAATGAATGTGTTGAAAATAATGAAAATAAAATAGAAAAGGAATTAATAAGTGGGTTAATAATGAATGATTTTGCTAAAGATGTTAAAAAGTGGTATTTATTTTGATGCAATTTATTTGGAATATTTGTTTCAATTCGTAAACAAATAAATTTAGATGCACAAAAATTAAACAAAAAAAAAATAAAAAAACAATTTATGATCTGTGAATCAATCAATCAATTAATTCTCCAAACCCATTTGTTTTAAGTTTCAATTTCACAAATGAATTAATTAAAACAAACTAAATAAATTGATAGTTAGTTAAATTACTATAGATTGAGATTCAAAGATGTTATATTTTGACACTTCTCCAATCTCATTCCAATGTTCTTAGCTCCATCTGCACCAAGCTCATTCCTCCTATGAAAATAATAAATAATGAATGTGTTGAAAATAATGAAAATAAAATAGAAAAGGAATTAAAAAATGGGTTTATAATGAATGATTTTGCTAAAGATGTTAAAAAATAGTATTTATTTTGATGCAATTAATTTGGAATATTTGTTTCAATTCGTAAACAAATAAATTTAAATGCACAAAAATTAAACAAAAAAAAAAATCAAAAAACAATTTATGATCTGTGAATCAATCAATCAATTAATTCTCCAAACCCATTTGTTTTAAGTTTCAATTTCACAAATGAATCAATTAAAACAAGCTAAATAAATTGATAGTTAGTTAAATTACTCTAGATTGAGATTCAAAGATGTTATATTTTGGCACTTCTCCAAGCTCAATCCAATGTTCTTAGCTCCATCTGCACCAAGGTTATTCCAACTATGAAAATAATAAATAATGAATGTGTTGAAAATAATGAAAATAAAAAAGAAAAGGAATTAATAAATGGGTTAATAATGAACGATTTTGCTAAAGATGTTAAAAAGTGGTATTTATTTTGATGCAATTTAT